TAGCTTTTTCTAGTCTAGTCATCCTTAATTTAAAATTCAAGGACAAAGAAATAATAAAAGATATGCAAAGAACATGTATTGAATTTAAATGTCAAATGCCAAAATTCTATTTGTAACGAAATTAAGAAAGGTGTTTGAATTATTGTAACAGCGGTTGAAACTTTAATTTTTTTTTCAAAGCAAGTAGCTATATTTTTTTTATTAAAGCAATTAGCTACTGGTTTTTTTTTATTGTTGTAGATCCATTTAGATATTCTGATACTAAAAAAAATCAATAAAAAATGTTTTTTTTTTCAGGAAACTGTTTTCCAGAAAAATAGAAAGCAGTTTTTTTTTCTCAGAAAATGTATAAACATGCAATCTATATAAACCAAAAAATAATTATTTAGAAAGAACTGATCTGCGAGTCCGAGAGGCGTGTGATCACTGTCCTAAAACAGTTGAGCCTCCCTACGTGAGGGTACTGATAGACACCAGCGACTCTAAAATTCAACTCAGACATTCACTGTAGTACTTTCTTAATGGTCACGTTCACTGAAAAGTTGAAGTGAATCTAAATCGAATCGAGTTATCCAAAAATAAAATAATAGATGATAATAGAAAAGTAGGCCAAGTATATAAGAATTGAAACAAACAATTGGAAGAAAGCTCGAGTGTTGATTTTGTTGTTACCAAAAGGTATCTCAACAACCACTTATATAGCTATTGTGTGCACAACGTACTTGGCACAACTTTTCAATGGTTTTTATTGTTGGGCCTAACCAGACTTTTCGATGGGTTTTTATTGTTTAGCCTTAAATAGCCATAAAACCAATTTTAAGGTCACAAATTATTATTCTTGAACATACACATTAAATAAGACCAAAAAATTTGCAACTAAAATTTATAAATTAAAATAAAAATTCAATAAAAATTTTAAAAACTTAATTTTATTCTTACAATTATAACTATTTAAGTAAAGTTATCATTTTTGAAGATAATGTTATACTCATTTGAGGCTAAGTTATAATATGTAGAGGTAAAATTATAAATTTTAGATTTTAGATTTTAATCTTTTAAAATTTATATAATAAAGTAGCTTACAATTTAAATCTCAAAAGATAAATAAAATGACTTTTGTAATTCGCAATTGAAATTATTTTAAAATTAATCTAACGGTTAATATTAATATCTTAAATTTAATGGAAAAAATAGGTCTCTGAAGATGTGTTTGAGGTATTTTTTAAAAGTAATTCTAAGAATTATTTTTCATAAGTACTTTTAAAAAAAATAGTATTTAAAATCGCGCACACTACTATCTCTACCATTACCGTCGTCGCCACTACCGTCGTCGTTGCCACCACCGCCGTTGTCGTCGTCCCGACCACCACCATCACCGCCACCACAACTGTCACTGCCACTGCCACTGCCACTGTTGCCATAGCCATCCCACCGCTGTCGCCACCGCCACCGCCACTACCACCTCCGTCGTCTCCGCCACCTCCACCACCACTGTCGCCGTCACCATCGTCATCATCACCGCCATCGCCTGCCACCACTATTGCCATTGTCATCGTCGTCATCCCACCACTATCGCCATCGCCACCATCGCTTCCACCCCCACCGTCACTGTTGCCGTCGTCATCGCCGCCGCCACCAGCACTACCGCTCACCACCTCTCATCCCCATTATAACCGATGCTTAAATTCATTTATCTTTTATATGTTTGTGATTTGATTTTGGATATGAATACAAATATATTTATTGTTTATTTTTTTTTATTACTCTGTGTCTTCATGCACAGACAATAATTAGTAAAATTATAAAATTATTACGTTTAAAATTAAGTTATAAACAACAGAGGTAACGTCAGGACCTCTTGAGCAGAGTTTATAAGCTCGCGAAACTATCATTGGGTAAAATTACAACCTTCGGAGGCAAATGTGCACTGGATAATTCTTAATGCCAAAAAATTGACAACCACACTTTATTACCGTACGAAAATGTGGGTACCAAAGCCTTGCCCAAAAACATTAATAGGACTCACTCGTCGTCTGGTAATGACAAATTAGAGCATATCATTTATAATAAAAATTCAATAAAAATATTTGGTAAACCTTGTTATCATATCTTCCTCTTCATTCGCAGTACCGTACCTGGCGGTTTCTGACCACATATTATGAAACCTAATTAACAAGGGGAGTTGTCTATGGTCCCGCATCTATATTTATCACATGTATAATTATTTTTTATTATATTTATAAGTATTATTATTATTAATATAATATTTAAAAAAATTAATAAAAATAATTATCATAACGTGATAAAAATATTTAAATTCAACCAAATTAAATCAAGTCTTATGTGTTAATCATTTGAGGTCGACTATATGAGTCTGTCTTCACCATTCACTTCTACTGTGTGTTGTACGCTCATTTATGCTCCGTTTGATAGGATGGATGGAAAGTAGGAATGATACACTTTTCTTCCTTTGTATTTGATTGGATGGATGAAAAATAAAATAACCTTTTTTTTGCTTGCTAAGATTAAAGGTGATAATTGAGTCGTGTCGTGTCGTGTCAGATTTGTATTGAGTCATTACGAGTTTGTATCGAATATTAATCAAACCTAATTTAACTCATTTAACAAATTGTGTCGTGTCGAGTTGCGAGTTGACCTGTTTATTTTCGTATCGAGTTTGAATCGTGTCATCGTGTTGAGTCGAAAATTTTCAACCTTAGTTAAGATGGAAAAAATATTTTTTAATTTAAATTTTTTAATTTTTAATTTTTAAATTTATTTTTAAAATTTTTTAATATATATATCTACATACATATTTTACCATTGTATTTTTATATAAAATTCATATATATATAATAATATATGTATATATAAAAAGATATATAAACAAATAAGATATATCAAAACACAAATAATTAACTTTTCATCCACTTTCTTTTCGATTTTGGAGGGATTGATTTTGGTAAGTTAAAAGAAAAGTTAATTCATCCACTTTTTCATCATTCCTACTTTTCTTCCTTACCAAACATGATGTTTAATTTTTCCCTCCAACTTTTCATCTTTCTAACTTTTCATCCTCCTATTTTTCCATCGTACCAAACGAAATATTAAGTTGCATTAGCACATATTTCATTATTTGGGTTATTTATAGTGGATCCGAAAATATTTTATACCGATTGTCAACTACTTAACGTAAGTCTTTCCTTTTATTCTGATTTGGGACAAACATTGTTGAATACAATACCGATTTACTTAAAAAAGATAAATGTGATTTATTCTACATTTGTGGGTCTCATTGTTCAAAAATTTATTCGGATTTGGGACAGACAGACAGTGTTGAATACATGTGATAAAAATAACAACAAAAACAAATTTATTGGATGCGCAGACAATGTGGGCAAGACCAGTAATATTCAAACAAATTTCTTCACACACACCAATACTTTCCAACACTATATAGGAACTGCTCAGGTCGTTGCTAGTAATTGAATTAATGGCCATAATAGATCTTGACTTTAGAAAAAAAAATAAAATAGGCTAGTCATAATAGATCTTATCTAATTGGAACCTTTAGAAATTTTGTTTGAAAATATTTTTGGACCATCAAATGCATTAAGACAGATCCCACATAGTCATGATTATTCCTAATTGAGTGGAAAGGTAAATATTATTGGTTTCATAGAATATTTGGATCCATCAAAGAAATTGGGATCAATCCCAAATAATTATGAACGATCAAGACCATTGAGATGAAATTACACCATTTAAAGTAAAGTTATTACTTGTAAATACAAAGTTATAACTTATTGACGTAAGATTACCATCTTTTAAGATAAAGTTACTACTTTGAAAGATAAAGTTACAATAACTTATGCTTAAGTTCCGGCATATAATTGTAAAATTATCAACTTTAAAGGTGATGTTATAACTTTTGAAAGGAAGGTTACAAATTTTATGGTAAAACTACTATCTTTAGAGATAAAGGTATAACCATTTAAGATTAAATTATAATTTGTAAAGGTAAAATTATCACCTTTAGAAGTGATATACAAGCTTTTTAGATAATGTTTTAACTTACAACTGTTTAAAGTAAAGTTATCATCTTTGAAGATGACGTTATAATCTGTAAAAGTAAAATTATCAATTTTAGATGTTAAGTTATAAGTATTTACGATAAAGTTATTACATTTGAATGTGTGGTTATAAGTATTTAAAATTAAGTTGAAAACATCAGCACCTCTTGAGGAGAGTTTATACGCTCACAAAACTATCATTGGGTAAAATTACAACCTTTGGAGGCAAATGCGCAACTTTCAAAGGCAAAGATATCACCTGCACTGGATAATTGTTAATGCCAAAAAATTGACAACCACACTTTTATTACGGTATGAAAAATATTATATTTATCAAAATTTTAATTGATAATCATATCATTAACCAAAAATTATTGTCTAGGTTGTTGTCTCTTCCTTTTCATTCGCAGCACCGTACCTGGCCATTTCTGACTGTACTGCACTTTTGGTGTGCAGTTGAAAATGTTTTGAACCACATATTATGAAACCTAATTAACAACGAGAGTTGTTTATGGTCCCGCATCTCAACTTATTACATTTATAATTATTTTTTATTATATTTATAAGTATTTTTATTATTAATATAATACCTAAAAAAATTAATAAAAATAATTATCACAACGAAAACATCTACATTCAATTAAATTAAATGAAGTCTTACGTCTTAATAATTTGAGATCGATTATACAAGTATGTCTTTGTCATTCATTTCAATTGTGTGTTATACGGTCATTTAAATAGCATTAACGCATATATCATTATTTGAACATATCATATTGGATCCGACAAAAATTTTATATTGATTGTCGACTATCTAACGCAACCACCTTCTTTTATTTTGATTTGGGAGAGATAAATGTGATTTATTCAACATCGACAGCGTTGAATAAATGTCATAACACAAACAAATTTATTGTCTGTGCAGACCGCGTGGGCAAGGCTAGTAGTATTCAAACAAATTTCTTCACACACACCAACACTTTCCAACACTATATAGGAACTGCTCAGGTCGTTGCTAGTAATTGAATTAATGGCCACTCAAGCGTTAGGCAAGCTTGAGCCATGGTGCAACTTGGAAGGCAAGGTTGTGATGGTGACCGGTGCATCGTCGGGGCTAGGCCGAGAATTTTCGGTCGACCTAGCCATGGCCGGTTGCAAGGTCGTGGCAGCTGCTCGTCGAATTGGCCAACTCAAGTCTCTTTGCGACCAAATCAATCAGTTCACCCCTGCACGTCCAAGCCCTACAATGGTTGATTCAAGAGTTGGCAACAGTCCTCGAGCTGTGGCCGTTGAGCTTGATGTGACTGCCGATGGTGGCTCCATTGAGGCGTCCGTGCAGAAAGCCTGGGATGCATTTGGTCACATTGATGCTTTGGTAAACAATGCTGGTGTTAGAGGTAAAAATTTAGCTTGATAGGAAAAGTCGGTTATCAACCAGTTTGGTTAGATTTTGATTAGTCTTTTTTTTTGGGTTTCATGGTCAGTTTACCATATTTCAACTAATCTCTTCTCTAATTAAATCAAAAATAAGTTATTCAGGCCGAAAATAAGGTATTCATGACATGCATTTTTTATGATTTGACTTGAAAGGGTTGTAAAATTTCAAATTTAATACGTTTGAATTTTCGATTCTGTCTGTTTTACCGACTAATCTAACAAATTTTCAATGAGTCTTTGAGCATAAGTAGTATCTCGTAGATCTGTCAAACTTGTCAAGTAGTAAGGCTACCCAAGATGGGTACTCTCCTATTTCAACTTCGCCAAAGTCTCCAATAGCACAGTCGAAACAGTGACGAATATTCTGGTTTACATTTCAAAGCTCTTTGTTCTTTAGAAAGTGTTTTATCTAGAGTATAGTAACTGCTAGTTTAAGTACTTACTTTTCTTCTGAGAGATTAATTACACTGTCTCTTAACTAAGGATTTGAATATATTACACTCTACTTTTTTGTGTATCTTAGGGAATATAAAATCTTCGTTGGACCTATCGGAGAATGAGTGGAAGAATGTCATAACAACGAACTTAACAGGAGCTTGGTTGGTATCAAAGTACGTTTGCGTCCGTATGCGTAACACGGGGAGGGAAGGATCAATCATCAATATTTCTTCTGTTTCTGGTCTGAACCGAGCACAACTACGTGGATCTGTTGCCTATAGTTCTTCAAAGGCAGCCATGGACAGCATGACAAAGGTAGTTATGAGCTTGTCTTGGTTTCTCTCTGAGCGGTTCTTCGACTCTTGTGATTCCAAACGGTTTAGTTGCTTGATGTATTTTAATGTATGAACTCTATTAATTCATTCTAGGTGTACAAAAAGAAATTCAGTTTTCATATTAAACAAAACTCAAATGTTTAATGGGTAATTGGGTTTGTTTGAAATTAGCTAAATAGGTAATTTTTGAGGACTTTGGAGTAAAATAACTCAAGTTGGTTTGGACCTTAATTTTGTTACTAACTTATGCATCACTTTTTTGAACCTAAAAAGACTTACTTAGATTGACTAAAAAAAGTTGATTTTATGAATTTTCAATCAATTTTTAAGAGGTTTATTGTGGGTCCTACATAACTTTTTCGTTTTTTATATTGAGAAAATATTATTAGTGTCGTAAAAAAATTTAAATATTTAAGAGTTTTATTTTGGGAACTACTATACATAATTTATACATATATGTAATTTTTTTTTATTTTGACACAAAAAAATCAAAAAAAAAGTTAGAAAGTTAATCCAAATAGAATTTTTTTTCTTGCTTACTCATACATTTACCAAAATCTCTTACCCATTTCTATTATTTGATAATCTCATCATTCCACATTTGAATCTCATTTCGGCAGACAATGGCATTGGAATTGGGGCAACATGGAATCAGAGTGAATTCAATAGCACCTGGGCTTTTTCAATCAGAGATCACTGAGAATCTTATGAATAAACATTGGCTTAGTAATGTGGCTTTGAGAACTGTTCCTCTGAAAACGTTTGGCACATCCGATCCGGCATTGACATCACTCATTCGTTACTTGATACATGACTCATCGGGATATGTCTCAGGAAACATCTTCATTGTAGATGCTGGATACACACTTCCTGGTGTCCCTATCTTCTCTTCCCTTTGAGTTAGGAGGAATGATAATAAATTGTGTCGTATAGGTTGGTACCATTTATAGGTAAGTTTGTGTTGACGAATTTATTATCTTCCTGTAGGAAACCAACCCTTTTACCTTATGACTCAAGCAGTTATGTACCTAATAACTTCGCATCAAATTTGTGTCTAATAATGGAATTTTAGTCCTTTAAAAGTTACATTTTCTAATGTCAATTAGTTTTATCATCCACCGTTAAATCATCGGTCTTTCCGACTACAACATGTTGACAATATTTGAAGTTTATTGATTCAATGAACTATTTAAATTGATCAAAATTGAAGATCTTGAATGTTTGGACAGCTTAGTATTTATTTGTTGGTCTCATATTGATGCTTTAAGATGTTTGTTTAAACTTTAAGGGTAACTCAAGTAGTAACAGAGATGAATTATAAATACAGATATCATGAGAATGAATATTGACAACTCCTTAGGGTTAGGTCATGAGAGATTTATCCCTCATGAATACCCTAATTCCCGCATGGATAATCTGTCTTTGACCAAATCGGAGAAAGAATTAATTGATGTATGCGTAAGTTGACCCAAAGATTTTTGACCGTTGAAAAAAAAATATTTGTTTAGATTTTAAGTGTAGATTGTGAAATTTTCTATTGGTAACTTTATGTTTCTATTTAGTGTGGTTGAATGTCTATTTCTAGGTTCTGTGTTCTACTGTTTGTTTTTGATATTTTAAAAAAAAAGTGTAGGGAAAAAGAGGAGTGTCAAAATACCACCTTGATAGATTTTTATTGATGAGATTATGAGGTCACTAACTATGCTCGTTATTTTTCTCGATAACAAACTTAATTAGGCTATTATAGCGATCAACCATCGAGTCTCATTATAGACTCCAACACTTGAACCTCTAATTTCAAGATGATAAGTTCGATCGACACCTCTAATTGATGTTGGGTAAGTAGCAAAAAATTGGTGCGCTTGATTTTGGGTATGCCTTCCAGCCACAAAAATGCAAAATCCCACTTCATTGGGTAGGATTTGTCAAATTGATTGATAAGTTCTTACTCACTCCTTTAAAGTTTATTTTATTTTCAATGCGGTGTGTGCAGGGGCGGAGACAAGAATTAATATTTGATTGGACACTTAAACTGAAGGTTATATCTTTTTCCTTCCACCCGACTATAATAAATGACACTACAACAAATTTGTTTTATAGCGACGAGTTTTAACGGCGAACAATAAAATTTGTTGTAAAAAAAGTGATTTTTGGCGACAATTTCAAATGTTTCTCGTAGTAAACTTTTTTATGATATTTTTGACGACCATTTTTTATAGTCATTGCTAATAATTTTTGCAAAAACGTTCCCTCCAAAAACATTTGGCGCTAAATGCTAATTTTATAGGCGACAAAAAAAAATTGTCGCTAAGATAATTTTTCGGTCGCAAAATCTTTGTCAAATTTACGAAAAATAAGAAAAAAATAATAATACTTAGCGACAATACATGTATGTCGCAGAAAAAAAAATTAAAATTAATTTTGTTTTACAACAAATGATATTTGGTCGCAAAATTTGTTAAATAAAACGTCCACTTTGATGGGTTAAAATGACGTCATTTTGAAGTTAAATGATTGAGAGAATTACACCCAGATATTCTGAGATTTGTCACTTAATCACTCAGACCCCTTGACATTTAAAATATTACACACAGATCCTTTAAGGTTTATACGCGCGTAATACTTAGACTGTAAATATATCTGTTAATAAATTACACAAAAACCCCTCTAAAATTTGTAGACATGTAATACTTAGACCCCTTAATTTTAAAATATTATACTTAAAATAAAAATACTCAAATCAAATATAGAATATCAAATATTTTTAATTTTACAACCAAAATTCATGTTCTATTGTATCATTTATTGAAATAAAATAAAAAATAAAAAATTAATTTTTAAAAAAAAAATCGTAATTTATATACAATTATACTATCTATTAAAATAAAACTTAAAAATCAAACAAGGGGTCTAAATCATTCATAATAAAACATGAATTTTACAATCAAAATTCATGTTTTATTATGTTATTTATTGAAATAAAATTAAAAATAAAAATCTTATTTTTTTAAAAAAAGTTATAGTTAGTATACAATTATACTATCTATTAATTATAATAAAACTAAAAAATTAAATATGAGGTCCAACTGTAATAGATACAATATCTTTTAGTTTAAACGACTAAATTAAATTCTAATAAACAATATAATTGTATACTAATTATGATTTTTTAAGAAAAAATTTATTTTTTATTTTTTATTTTATTTCAATAAATGATACAATAGAACATGAATTTTAAATGTAAAATTTAAAATGTTTGATATTCAATAATTGACTGAAATATTTTTAGTCTCCGTATAATATTTTAAAAGTAGGTGAATGGCGAAATAATATATGTTTACAAACTTTTAGGTGTTTGGGTATAATTTATTAATTGACATATTTACAAAAAGGGCCTAAGTGTTATGTCGTATAAATTTTAGGAGATTTGTCTATAATATTTTAAATATTAGGGGGCTCGAGTGATTTTCAGTATAACTCTTGATTCCAAAACGACGTCGTTTTGGAACCCTAAATCAACACCTTGTCTTTTTCTTCGACAAATGTATCAGTCTAGCCCCACTTTGCCCCACCGGATCTCCACCGAATTGTGAGTCTCTCTCTCTCTCTCTCTCTCCATGTAGAAGCCTGCCTTTGCGTTCTCTACGAAAGCCTTCTATGTACATGTATTTTTCTCTCTAGATTCGTTGTATTTGTATGCTTCGTCTCGAACGAAGCGGTTGTGCTCTCATATTCGAGTGTTTTCCATCATGAAATAAGAAACAAATCTTGGAGTGAAACTAGGGATTCGAAGTAGTAGTTCGTCTTCAATGGCGATCAGAGGCGTAGATTTCAAGTGGTGAGTGGCGAAACGTTGATTTTGGTCTGTGCATTTTTATATCTTTGGAAATATATGCATCTAGATGTTCAATTTTTGTAATTTGTATTTAGTGAATCGATGGAGTGAGTTTCAATTTCGGTTGTTGCAGGTACGATGGGTTTTTCTTGTCAATCCTGGCGATGAATATGTATCCTTTGAATGTTAAGCTTCATTGTTTCATTTCCTTCCAATTAGGTCTTAATTACTGCCAATTTGGGGTAAGTAGTTCTTTCTGTTCATGTTTCAATTTCAATTTATTGGTCTTTGTTGGGTACGTGTACATAATGTGTTTAATTTGATCACATATTCTGTACATAGGGAGCACAAAAACTTATTCCAAATGCAAAATGAACACTAAACGTACTTTAGTCAACAAATTCTTAATGTAACACTAATAGCAAAAACATTCGATCGCGCATTCGAAAGTCAGGCAAGGTATATTATTCCATCAATTTTTACATATTGATTCAAATATGATGAGGAGCTTTGTATTTCTGTATCATTGGGTGTTTGGGCAAGTTTAGTGAAGTATGCATGCTTTTTTTTTTTTTTTTTTTTTTATGAGTGCAAACATGTTATCATAAAATACTTGCATTTGATTGAGATAGGCTTGAATGACCTAACTAATGATGTAGTTTAATATTGAAACACAATAGCTGATATAATATAGCATTAGCTATAGAAAATTTTAATTGATGCTCTTGGACATACAAAGATTACACTCTCTTTTTTTTTTTGCTACTATCATATACTTAGTCAAATATTAATTTATTAACCTATAAACTCTAAATTTATATATTTTTTATTTTACTTCTTATCTATAATGCGTTAATGAATTTTTTATGTTTGTCACATATTGACGATGGATTGTAAAGAGCTCGTTTTGGATACCAAGATATCTTTTCTTTCAAATATTTGAGATATTTTGTTGTTGGGATATTGGATGTTGAAAATTTTGGATATTGTTAGGAGTTTTGGATATTGTTTGATGCTATTGAAAATTGTTGGATGCTATTTTATATTTTGAGTAATGTATGAATGTTTTAGTAATTGTGATATATTTTTATGGATTATCTATTGTCATGGGTGCATGATTGAAATTGGTTAGAATGTTTTTGAGTTTTTATAGGTGTTTTTAAATTGTTATAGGGCCAAATGGAATTTAATCATTGTTCATTTTTTGGGTGACGAAAACAAGTCGTCGCTAAAATATTGTTCATCTTTTTTTGCGACGAAAACAAGTCCTTGTTAAAATGATGGTTGTCTTTTTGGGTGACCAATATATTTGTCGCCAATATTTTGTGTACTTATTTTTAGCAACGAAATATAAACGATCATTAAAGTTTTTACATTTTGCGATGAATATAATCATTGCTAAAAATTTTATGCAGTTAAAGTAATATATTTTTTGGCGACGAAATAAGAACATGTCTAGCGACAAAATTATGGTCGCCTATTGTGTATTTTTGACAACGAAAGTTTTGTTGTCGTTAAAAACTTTTCCAGACGAGCCTAACACGACAAAATGGCGATGAAATGAGTTTGTCGCCAAAAATTTTTTGCGACGAAATTTATACAGTTTGCGACGAGTCAATTCGTCGCTAAAAAACAAATTTGTTGTAGTGTGATATAAAGTAGATTTTGAAAATCATATTTAATTCCTAAAGCTTTGCTAAACACAAATGGCCAAAAGCCGATATGTGTTGGGTGTAATTAAAAACAAAAAAAAAGTATAATTACGTCATTTTACATAAAAAAAAATGAGACTAATTATAACTCTTCACAATTAATCTCTTTTTAAAAAAGTCACCATAGGATCGCAGTTTCTGAAGAGTCGAACTTACCATCTTGGCATTGTTGTTGCTTCAATTGTTCTTCCTCCTTGCTTTTGTATCAAAGTGTCGTTGGTTTGTGTGGTGATCTAAAAAGTATATGTGAATAAGATGAATAAATAAAATAAGCTTTCATGGATTGGTGTGGGCACCACTAAGTATTATTGGGTCATGGATTCATGGGTGGATACTACTAATGAGTAAACTCATAAAACATTTGTCATACATTTAGGTAATAAATAGATTTTTTTTCGGGTGGGCTAGCATCCCTCTATCCTATGACTGGCTCCGCGCATGAGTGTGTGAAATTTGACTTTTTGGTCTTCTCGAGTTCTTTGTTCTGTGATGATGTTGGGTAAATAGTAAAACAAATAAAAATTATGCTTGATTTATATACGTCTTTCACTAAAAAAACAACTTTGGATAGTATGTAGGGTAGTTTTTAAGCTTCTGTTCATGAGATAAGAGA